ACTGAGTTTACAATAATGAATTGAATGGAGTGTGTAATCTATCGAGAAAATTCTTCAAGTACCACTGGGAGACTAATTATCCCTTTTGCTCGTACAAGTCGATTATCAAACCCATAGAGTGGACTTGCAGCAGGCTGAAGCTTTTCTCTAGTGAGACCCATATTGAGAAAAGTGGAGTAGAACATGACATTTACGGAGCTTCCATTATCCATGAGAATTATTTTGACATTGTAACATGGGTCACCTATCCCCACATTAATAACCAACGAATCTTGATGATGGGTTTTTACTTCCTCTAGATCATAGTCATCAAATGTGATAGAATAATCGATACGAGCCTTCTTTGGCATCAGGTTTTCATCTACAGCTAAAAAGGCTTGATCAGATAGTACGGTGCCTCCTGCAATTGTCTCAATTTCACTAACTACTATTTGATTATTCATCGATTGTCTCTATTGTTGATTTTGCCCCCTGGCAGGACGAGCTTTCTCTCAGGTAGGTGGAACCCGAATAAACCATTGGAGATAGCCTTAGCGGAGAAGTCTTTTAATCTCCTCCTTTAGTTGCCTAAAGGCTTTGGTAGTGTGGCCACGACTACGATCAAAGTGACTGTACTGATCTTGATTTTCTGTATTCAGCTTCAAAAGATGCTGCCATTTCATTGTATCTTGATATCGAACAACCATTAATACATTTGCTCGAGATGTATTGAGTGGGGTATATTCCTTCTCCTGTCTAGGTTTCCGTCGCGGCAATGGAGGCCTAGGAGGTAGATTATTTTTTCCATGCTTCTTCCATTGTGAGGATGAATTATCCACTCCAGGTACACCCTTGTGCTTCTCGTTGGTTTGCTCAAACTATTTTATATGAGTGTTTATAGCCTCATCTGTGGAGATTTGCGTCTCCACACGATGGATCAGATAATCATATGAATGAACAGTGTCGCGTATGAGTGCCGAATAGAAGGGGCCAGGACAAAGGCCTCTAAGAAAGACCCCTCTGAGCAATTCAGGGTCTACTCCTGGAATCTGTCAAGCCTCGGTGAAAAACTGCTAAAAATACTCCTTCAATGATTCTCACTTATTTTGATAGATCCTGAAGAGATGGGAAGAATCCTTAGCAATTTTTTGATTGACTACAAACTGTTCAACAAACACTTTGGCCAATTTTGACAAATGAAGGGATCATTCTGAATAGAAGCGAATAGAACCATTTTTGAGCCTGTCCTTTAAGGGTGGCAGGAAAAACTTGACACAGGAGTTCATCCGAGGCTCACTGAATATGCATGATGGTTCTATAGTGGTCGACATGCTCGCATGGGTCGGATGTCCTGTCGTAGGACTCGATGCTCAGTAGTTTGAAGCCAATCAGAATAGGTTACTGAAGAATGGCTTCAGTTAAAGGTGATGACTCCTGAAAGTTATGATGTCGAAGAGTTTGTCTCACATCTCATCCAGGTAACTCTTTCCATACTAATCTCCACAGTTCATGACGTAGGGCATTACGAGGGAGCTCAGAAATGTTTGGTTGGGCTAAGTCTTCTAGAAGATCTGAATGAATGCGAGGTTGCCGATTGGTGTGTGAGGGATGGGTAGAACTTGTTGTATCAACAAGTTCGTTATTCTGATGTGAGTGTATATGCCTCCTTGGTAGAGGAAGAGGAATATCTGCTTGAAGATGCTCAAGTTGAACATCTTCGGCCAGTGGTGGATCTCGAGGGAGAAGAACTTCCTTCCGTTGTGCTAGTGCCAGCTGCCAAGTCTCTCGCAGGAGTTGAAGGATCTCATTCTGAGATTTTTCCATCTTTTATATTCTCTCTTCTAAGGAAGGTCCCGAGGTTCCTTCTCCAGCAATATTTTGCCCCCTAGGGTAAAAAGAGACATACATCGGACGTCTATGATTCATAGACTGATTTTTGGACTGGTGGGAGTTGGAGCGAGAGGCCCCAACGATACGACTGTTGCGCTTGTTGACCATCGTAGCAATACTTGAAGTTATACGCGACGATAGAGTTAGAAAATTTATGTCTCAGCATTGTACGTATATCTAGCACACAAACATAGGAGAAATAACACCAGGATTTTTATGTGGAAAATCTTGGAAAGGGAAAAAACTACGGGGCCACGCTAGTTGAAATAATTCCACTAGTATTTAAATTTTAGGACGATCAAATTACGAAGCTTCTCTTCCAGATTTAAATCCAATTACAAACAAGTTACGTATTCGAGCTGAATTCAAAATCACTTCGAATTCCAGTGTCATTGGAAAACCAGGTAGAGTTTCGGCGTCACTTGGGCGTCGGGCAGAATTCTGGCGTAACTTAGGTGTCGGGCAGAATTCTGGCGTCACTTAGGCAGAATTCAGACGTCACTCGGGCGTCGAACAAAATTCCGTCATCACTCAGGCGTCGGGCAAAATTCCGACGTTGGTGGTCGAGGAGGAGTTTCTTCCCTCCTATCATTCTCTTCTTCTTCTCTTCTTCTTTTTTTTTTCTTGGGTCCCCTCTCAAGAGAAATGAGGGTCTATTTATAGAAATTGTGGAGTGGCATGACCTATAAATAGGAGGAGGATCAAGGGCAAATGTAGAGTGGTTCGATGGGCGGTCGATATTGAATCCCTTGATCATGTGTCGTTCGTCAGACATTTGAAGGTCTTAATGATGTTGGAATTCAGCGATCTTGGGCTCGTTGGATTTGTCTCATCGAGCCGCTCGATTGGACTATAAGCTTGTCATGTTTGGAAACCGTTTGATAACTCAAATTGTGATACAAACTTTCTAACACGCTTTGGGTACTTGATTTGGACTCATTTGGGCTCGGATTGAGTCAAATTTGGTGTCGTTGGGTTCGTATTTCCAAGAAGCTCAATTTGACTATAAGTTTGCTGAAATCGGAGTTCAAGTGATCCTGGCAAGTTTCCGGCTTGATTTTGTCACGAGATTCATACCCAATCAAGATAATTTATAGATGATACATCAAATATAAGTTATTTTATTCAGAAGAAAATTATCACCAAAAGAAAAAAAAAATTATTGAGAATTTTTAAGACGCGTAAATAAAGAGTCATCAAAATTGAAACTAGTGATATGATTTAAAGGTTCATGCATGATGCATTATAAGAATTTTTTTATCACATGAGTTCAAAAAGATGCATCACCAATAGTAGTATTATGAATATTCTGCATATTTGATATTTATAACGAAAATAAGTTCAACCAGATTAATATAACATTCCATGAGTAACAACATTTAAAAACTGAGGTGTTAAGATGCTTGCCACACAAATAATTTCGATTTGTAACAATTGTTGGTTGGTTGATGTTAGAAATTTGGCTCGAGTTAAAATGGGTCGAATCGAACAAAATGTTTTAATTATTTAATTATTTTTTAACTAATTATATTTTTATTGAGTTGTCATGTTTAAGTCAAATAATCATGTATGTTTTGAGTCGAGTTAACCTATTACAACTTGAATATTATTCATATGATATTGGGTTTGACTTGAAATTTTTTTACTCATTTACTAAATTGCTCATAATCGAGTTGATTATATATGTATCAGATCATAGATTGAACACAAACCTAATTTGAAAACCCATACATAAGCTTTAACCTTCTAACCTACCTTTGCATATATGCCTTAAAAAAAAAAAAAAAAAAATAAAAAAAAAAAAAAAAAAAAATAATATATATATATATATATGTTTGATTAAATAGAAACTCCTTTAAATCCCAACAATAATCATATATAATATAGATGAATAAAAAATATAATCAGATACTAATACTCTATGTTAAGCCGCCAACTCAAAAGTTCCATAACATGAAAAGTTCAATCAATATTATCCATGAGAACAACTATTTTCTGAATTAAATATAATAGCGCAACTCAGCTTAAAAGCTTTGAGTTCAAGTCTTGTGTATGTCCAATCCCACTAATTATATATTCAATAGTAACAATTAAATAAAGCATCTATACTTATTGGCAAACATTAGTGAATTCATAAATTTTAATTAAACATAATATAGTTCACTAAATATTATTTACATCTTTTAATGGAATTAAAATATTAATAAAAATAACTTTCCTCTATACATGCTAATTAATTATTTAATATTTACACAATATCTCAATTAATAAAAAAAAAATTGTTATACATTTTAATGTGTTGATTAAAGCATCATTGAATGGTCATTTTATCACACTCTGAATGTGAACTACTCAAACTATAAAACAATATGCTATGATCAGTACGTCAATATTTATGTTTGTTCATGAAAATATTGAATTTCTAAAACTTGTTACGTTCGTTCATCTAGTTTTTCATCAAGTACACAAATTCCTTCCTTGTAGAGAGAGAGAGAGAGAGAGAGAGAGAGAGAGAGATTAGCCAAATCAAATGAGAAGCACCGTCAAAACCATGCAATAATATTTTGGATTCATGTAGATGGCAGTTTTCAAAGACAATAAGGAACAAATATACATAGAAATTTTCCATTGCAAATGCGTACGTTAAGACCGCATTAGATCCTATATCAATAAAAAGCTTAATACACTGGTAAAGTTATATCTTACAACAGCGTTGAAAGTACTTCACCTCAATGATGTAGTGGATCGTCGGAAGATGTGACCTGCAAGAAGGATTTGGGTTTTCCCAATCCAGGGAAGAAGAAGAAGCTTTCAAAGCTTTAACAAAAAGATAATATCATTCAATGATTTTCCTATTACAAAACTTGCTATCTATAAAGTAAAAAAGAGCATTCTAGCAAACTAGATAAGGTGTCCTAGGGAACACCTCAAGCATAAAATGCACCGCATCACTCAACTTCTGAAGTTTGTAAATCATTAAATTGACAGAGGTCTCTGCTATTGAAATTGAAGAGATCCCCTTCCATCTCACTGGAGAAGCCCACTTTTCTTACCCCAGCAAATTGCCAAGACGTAAAGTATGATACAGCCTCCGACAGTGCCGCCGGTGGTCTCCCAGAACTGGTGATATGTTGGCATATTAAAAAGATCAATGGTGATATTCATACCAAATATACCCACTACAACGACACCGGCTGTGACAACCAGAGTTGCAGTGCTTAGCATAACACCCATCTGAAGCAGCTGATTCTGCTTCTCGTCCAACATGATATTAATGTAATCCTCGGTATCGTCAACATACTCCCTCAGCTGCAGATACGAGGAATACAATAATATTAGGAACATGAATATTGTGAACCAAACACCATCAGGCAATGTGACTTCAGGAATTGAAAACAATAACAACAACAACAAAAACATCAAGCGGCCTTTATCCCACTATGTGAGATCCGCTACATGAATCGTTTTTCCCCATGTGTCATGTTTAAGTCAAATTCTCATTTAAATCTAATAGAGAAAATATCATTTCTAATATTTTCTAACCAAATCGTTTTAGTTCTACCTCTACCTTTCTTAACATAAGCAAAAACTACTACATCCACTTTCTCGACCAGGTCATCGGGAGGCTGTTGTTTTATGTGACCAAACCAGCTAATAAGACTCCTCTCTCTAATTTTATCTTCCATTGGAGCTACTCTAACCATTTCACGTATATGCTCATTTTGTATCTTATTTCTAAGAGTAAAGCCGCTCATCCACCTGCGCATCCTCATCTCTGCAACCCTTAACTTAATATTATGCTTCTCTTTTAATAGACAACATTTTGTGCCATAAAGCATTCCAAGTCTCATCATCATCTTACAGAATTTTCCCTTAAAGTTTGAGAGCTTTTATATCACACAACAAGCCTAATGCATTCCTCCACCTCAACCATCCAACTTGAATTCTACTAATAATATTCTCATATCTTTCACCACCACTATGAACAAATAGACTTCGGGAATTGAATGGCTAATGAAAGTAAAGGTTATATATGGCTATTCGTTAATGATTAGATGGAGCAGGGACTTGAATGGCAGCTTCACCTATACACTAATGTCTCTGATGCATTACGTGTTATGTCCCAGGATTGTTACATAGAAACCACACTATAAGATTAATTTCCTAGCCTTTGTCATAAGTTAAGAATAAGCAACAATTGAGAGATAAATTAATGCTTCAGTCAAATAAATTTACATTTAAATTGATGCCACATCACCTATTTATGAAGCAGCTGGTGTCCCACTAATTAAAATGTGGATTTACTTGACGAGCATAATATCAACTTGCTCGACATTTGTATTCAGCGCAAATACGAAAGTAGAGATAAGGTATTTACACAATAAAAATGTATTTCACGAAGTATAAAAGAATTTTATATAACCAAGTAAATAACCGCTATGTGAATAGTTTATATCACGGTGTAATGCTTAAAACAGGGTATGTGAAATATGAGGATTCAAACTCCAAAATGGACGAGTCCGCATTAATGGTTTAAAACAATGCCTCAAGAATAGCCAACGGAAAGAAAGTTAATTAAATGTGGAACTAGTTGGAGAATATGATAGTTTCATTAAAGAAAACAATATTAGCATAAATATCATTGCTTAATTAAAGAAACATTAAAGAACCTTCTTGCATTGAAGATGAATTCTTAAGAAAAAAAAAAACAGGAAAACTCGTTCAATCCTTCATGGCACAGTTGTAAGGCAGAAAGCGAATGGGACGGAACTCAGAAGTAGAGCAATGTTTCTCATGCCTCCAAATTCGGCACAAAATCAAAACATTTCCCATGTGACAAGTTAAACCTATGAGAAGATGATGGGCCGCCAAGATCAACCATGAATGTATTGAATTAATGGATAAAAGGAGCTTTTCTCTTATAAATATGGTTGTGCCAAAAATATTTTAAAACTAACGCTCGACCATCAAAAATATTGCCATCACCATCACATCAAATTGGAAAGCGAAAACATAAGCAACATGATGCAAACGTTATTTTGGGAATGAAGCGAGACCTAATTCAATCATGAAGGACAAATAAAATATAAATTAAAAAAATAAAAAATAAAACAAAACATAATTTAAAATTTATACAAATTCTGAAATTCACCAACTTGGTGGTTTCTTCTATTATCATCACTGTAGATTTCACTACATATTTTATTGTGGAAATTTTACAACCCTAGTATTTCCAACATAACCTTAACAACGGCAACCCTTTTTGAAAAGAAAAAAAGGCAATCGAAAAAAAAAAAACTAAAACTCTCAAAACAAACTTTGTAGTAAAATAACTCGCAAATAATTTGATATAGAGTAGAGTTCCAAAGGAAAAAATAAATGCATTAATAGATCACGTAAGGTACTCTACCTTGGACTTTTGCTTTGCTTTGTGTCCTATTTTAAATAGACAAAATCCATATTATATAATTAAAGAAAAAGGACAAATGCTTGAGACCCTGAGAAAAAGAATTAGAACATACTGTGGATAGTTTATTTAGAGTACCGTCTATCTGCACGAAGTAAGCTTCTAACAGCATCTCCAATTCCTCAATATTAAGCTTGAAACCACCTAAGCCTCCAGTGTTGCTCTCCGTTTCACTTTTAGCATCTTCATCTCTGAGAAAACAAATAAAGGTTGCATTGTTAGGAAGAACATTGACAAAAAGAAAACGTCAACAAAGCTCCTTAATATTACCATTTAAATTAATTCATTTCAAATGAAATTAATACTTGCATAAGAGAATGATCAATGATATATAAAAGCTTATGATAGGCAAGAAATACATACATGACATGACACAAGATATAGCAAAGAACAACTCATGCTTAATTATAGTACAAGTACAATAGTGGGTATGACACTCACATATATAGTTTAGACTATATTAAAAAAAAACCCTTCATAATCTGATAGGAAACACTTGGATTTCCAAGTGTTTCTCACCAAAACCAAGTAGATCCAATGTAAAACTGCTGTCCACAGCAGAAATCAGCCAAGAAACAGTGGAAAAATAGCAAATCGGAGAGAAAACTGTGGAGAAAAGACTTGTATTTTTACTAATAGATGAAACAGAATAGAAAAGATACAATTGATCCTCAATTCGAGAGGAGGATCGATCTCTCCCAAATCTCTAGACGCCGCTAGAGCCCAAAGAAACCTAAATCTAAGAGATCTCAAATTTCAGCCAAATTCAAGATGCCCAAACCCTAGCAAAAATCAACTATTTAATGCATACAAATCAAAAGGAATTCCCTCAACAGTCCCTACATTCAAATTTCTCTCTAAACCCCCCCCCAAAAGTCCTTCCTAAAACGCTCCGTTTGAGCTGTCGGCCCGCTCGATCTCCGCAAGAGGCGGAGATCACGCGACGTTTCGCGTCTGAGCCGGTCCCGTGCGGACCGGCTGGACGGGTCCAGTGGAACGGTCTAACAATACTCCCCTCCCAAAAATCCACCTTGTCCTCAAGGTGGAGATATGCTCGTGTTCCGGTGGAGGGGGCCATCCTTGAGGTGACTGAAAATCCTTACTGTATTGTTGAACCAAGGGCTGCAAAGAAAGAGAAACTTCCCCTCCCTCTTCCAATCTGATTGCATCCAGCCTGTGTAGTCCCACCAAATAATCTTCCCCCACCTCTTGTACGTCGCTAACCATGGTCTTCGGTGATGTGATGGCTTTGGATAGCCCTGCATCTCCCCTGATGACCACCTTTCTCCCATCCACCATTAATTCCATCGTGAGTGCTCCCCAATTGTCCTTGTTTTCCCCAAGGTTTGCAACCACTTCATCGTCAGGATGACATCAATGCTTCCTAACTCTAGTGGAAGAAAGTCTTCTATTACTTGAATCCCTTGGATGGTCAACACCACTCCCTGGCCTTTCTCCACCTTCCCTGTACCCATCATCACCCCATAACGACCGGTGTCCACCAATTTCACTCCCAGTCGGTTGACAACCTGAGTGGAAATAAAATTGTGGGTAGCCCCACTATCAATTAGTACAACCACCTCACGATCAGCTATCTCTCCTTTCACTTTCATAGTGTGACTCGAAGTGAATCCCACCACTGAGTTCAGAGAGACTTCTGCTACATCCAAGTGCAACTTCTCCTCCTCTCCAGATCTGCTCCCACCTCCCTCCTCGTCTTCCTGTCTTCACAAGACAGGAGAACCTGAAGAGTTCGGTCCTTGCACCTATACCTGGCATGTACTTCTCATCACATCTGAAGCACAACCCTTTGTCCTCTTATCCTGCACCTCCTTCTCTGTCAACCTCTTGAATTTTCCCCACTCCCCCCTCTACTGGCTTCTCCGGGTGTCTCATTACTGTTGCCTGATGCAGGCCCCTTGGGTGCTAGAAGAGTGGTCGTTGTCCTGTTAGATTCCCCAGAGCTGCTGCCACGAGCCCCCCTCTCCAGATGCTTCTGGTCCTCGACCAACTGTGCCAACTCCATGGCTCTCCCAGGTCGTGTGGTCTCATCACTCTAACAGCTGCCCTGATTTCTGGTTTGAGCTTCATGAGTTCCCTCAAGCACGGTCTCAGAAAGACGATCTAACCTGCTAGCTAGGTATCAAACCGATCCCGGAATTTGCTACTGCCTTCCTGTGTCAGTGCAAGAACTGTTCGTAAAGTCTCTCCCTGCTGGTTCGGAAATGCCTTAGCAGACAATCCTTGAACTGTCAGACCCAACCCGACCGGGACGGATCCGCTCGATCGGGTGTGATCCAAATCAAACTGACTGAACTGATTCTAGGATCTGTTTTGGAATTTGTTTCAGAACTTTCTTCCAAACATTTACACACAGAAACAGACACAAATTACTATAAATCATCAAATACAACGGAACGATCATCTATCTTTTTCTCCTCAAAAGAATCATATACAAATACAGCTCATGGCTTTCAGACAGAAAGAAAAACAGAACAGAAAAGCCATGACTGTATAAAAAGATCAAAAGTACAAAATACCTATAACAGATCAGACTTGAACTCCTACTCAAGACTTCTTCCCTTTCCAGAATCTGAAAACCACGCAGAAAATAAGGATGAGCTACAACAGCTCAGCAAGAATCAAACCTCCAATCAAAATCCTCAGAAATCCAATCCAACACATCAGACAAAATCCATCATAAATTAGATCAACATAATCGTATATCGAATAGAACAGAACAGAAATCATAATTCCAGAAATTGAATCAGAACAGAATCATACAGATCAGATCAAATCAGAATAGAACAGAATCGTATCAGAATCATAAACCATATAAAATCGTACGGAAATCAGAAATAATATCAATTCAGAACATATCAAAAGTCAGAACAGATTCCCTGACTCTGACAGAATCTCAAACGGTTCTGGCCCTTATGCTCCCTTCCAGACACTGACAGAATCTCTCGGATTCTGGCCCTTATGCCTCCCTTTGTGCTCATGGCACCAAACAGATGTGTTTATAGCATCAGAACAGAACTTATCATCGGATCGGAATAGAATTTTTCAAGTTTCAGAGCTCATTTCAGATTTTCCTGACACGGACAGGATTCACAGGATCCTGACCCCTTATAACTCCCTTTCATAGCAACATCATATATGTCATTTCAAAACAAATCCGGACAATTTCAGAAATCGTCGAAAATCCAGCGGCATAACGGCAGTATACGGAATTTACACAAATTCACAGATTCATAAATTTACCAAATTACAACAGAACATTCACCACAATATTATAAGACTTTTATTCTACTGCCCAGACAATTTCAGACATCATTAGAAATTACAGTCAAAGAAACACGCGAGATCAAAACTATCTGGTCAAAATTCTCCAGAAAATAATCAAAATGTGCGCACTCGGCACTCAGAAACATACAAAAGTTACGATGTAAAAATTGAACCATCGGAAATACGGACGAAATTCGCTAACGAAAAACGAATCCGGGCAAGAAAAATCGTTCAAAACTTCACGTTCTGAAAATTGAGAAAGGCGGAATGTGTTACTTGCGTACACCAATTTCTTGAACTACTGAAAGGACGAAAACGAACGGGAGTCGCCAAAAATCACTTTTCCTTTTTTTCCTTCATTTTTCTCTCTCATGGGCTTTTTCTCTCTCTTCAAAATATCTCATTTATATATATCCAGATGATCGTCCGGACGATGCAACTTCGTCCGGGACGAGTGGCTCTGGACGAATTTCGTCCAGACGAATTTAATTTCGTCCTTCTACATGAACTCCTCCAGCTTCGAATGGGTCATGTCCCGCCACTGGTACTATGCCAATGCCTTCTTCAAAACATAGTTCCTGTCCGCTGTCAGTTTCTCCTCCTCGCTCAACCTGTTGTCTGCAAAATACCGTTACTTTGTAGATCAGCCATGGCCATCCTCGCCCTCAAAGATGGGTATCTTCAGCTTCCTCACCTTGGAGATCTCCTCCGTACCCTCGGTATCCTCAAATCCTCCATTCCTCGAGGGGAGGTGCTCCCCAAGTGTCCCGATCGTCCTACGACGATTATACCCAACACTTTCTCATATTCCCTTCTTCCCTTTCAAATAAGACATTTGATGCTGAAATTCAGCACCTGACGCGGGAATTTTCTCTTCTTCCGCCAAAATCTGCACTTTCGTAGTATCCCTTCTCTACTTTCAAATTCCGCACCTGACGCTGAAATTAGCACCTCGACGCTGGAATTCCTCTCTTCTACCGCCAAAATCTGCACTTTCGTCGTATTCCCTCTCCTACTTTCAATTCCGACCTCGACGCTTGAAATTCAGCACCTCGACGCTGGAATTCTCTCTTCTACCACAAAATAGCACCTCTTCGATGTACCCCAGACTCATCTCCTCTCTAGAAAGCGGTTCTAGAGAGGCATATCATCTTCCCCCTCAAGGATCTCCACCTCTGGATTCCTTCCTCCCGGACCGGGTTTGGATTTCCTACGCATGGCCGTCGGTGGTCTCTTTACTTCCGATGCCGCCGGATTGGTCTTCATTCTAGTAGTTTCTTCATCATTTTTCCATTGCCGCGAACTCCCTTCCAACTGTCATTGTTGTGGAGATTTCCAGGAACTTTCCCTCCATATTGTCTTTTAGTTGTGAACTCGCCTTCCAATACTTCCACATTCTTTCCGACCATCTTTCTTCAACAGATCCTCAAAAATATCACTTCCGGAAGCCGAAGTCGCTGAAAAATCAAAATTTCAGCCGCCTAAGGTCCAAAAAGATGCTCTGATACCAATTTGAGTAGGAAACACTTGGATTTCCAAGTTGTTTCTCACCAAAACCAAGTAGATCCAATGTAAAACTGCTGTCACAGACAGAATCAGCCAGAACAGTTGGAAAAATAGCAAATCGGAGAGAAACCGTGGAGAAAAGATTGTATTTTTACTAATAGATGAAACAGATAGAAAATACATTGATTCCTCAATTCGAGAGGAGGATCGATCTCTCCCAAATCTCTAGACGCTGCTAGAGCCCAAAGAAACCTAAATCTAAGAGATCTCAAATTTCAGCCAAATTCAAGATGCCCAAACCCTAGCAAAAATCAGTCCCTACATTCAAATTTCTCTCTAAAACCCCCCAAAAATCCTTCCTAAAACGCTCCGTTTGAGCTGTCGGCCCGCCCGATCTCTGCAAGAGGCGGAGATCACGCGACGTTTCGCGTCTGAGCCGGTCCCGTGCGGACCGGCTGGACCGGTCCAGTGGACCGGTCTAACATAATCCAAATATATTAATTAAATTCGAGACCCCCATCATGTCCTAGAATTTTGAAATCATATATTATAAATGATAATGCTAAAGTAATTGCTGCATATCAAGTGTCCAATTTCTCTAATATATATTCAAATTTTTAAGGAAAACTCACAGAATGAGACACAAAAGGCAGGTATTCTTGAGCGTCCAAGTGTCCAACTATCGAACAAAATGACAAACACGAGAAGACAACCTTAAAAGTCAATATTAAACTATGAATTTCACCAATCAAAACTATTAAATGGATTCTAAATATCATCAACAACCAATACATTTATTTCGAAATCATTTAAAAACTCATCATATAGTAATGGAAATTATCTTCTCATGCAATCGTGACCAATAATTTAGAACATTTTTATGCATTACATTCATGATCAAAGGATAGTAAAAAATTTGAAATCATACATGCCCTGGCTTTAATGATCTCAAAGAGAACAAACGATTTTGATCTTACATATGATGATCTTAACATCAAAACCTAAATGGGAGATTGGTAACTTTCCAGGGAGAAACTCCACAAAAGCAGTTCATTTCAAGGGTCCTCGGTTTGTTGAGATCTGCCCAAAACAATCAAATTACTATTTGGACAACAAGCTGGAATTATTTGGATAGCTATCCTAGCAATTGAGAAGGAGAATGAAAAGAAAACAAGTTTGTCATATAAACCCTATATATTACTCTTGATTCATTAACTCAATTCTTCGTTACTTGATTTCTAGAGCCTCAGAGCATCAATTTGGTAAATGTCATATTTTGCTTGCAAGGGAAAGATGGTGAAGAGAATAACCAATCCTGACACCAATATAGCGCAACAACCAACCATAAGTCAAGTCGCCCACACAATCTCCAACAAAGTCAAGCCATCGACAACAACAACAAATTTTGTAAGGCTTCAAAGAAGATACGAGATCCTGAAAGGGATGTTCATCATTTCATGGCCAATCAATAATGAGTCTTCGTGGAATCACGATGAAGCGTCATAATCTATTATCCATGCAAGAAAATGTGGTACAGATGCCACCAATCCAGATGGTACAGATCTTGAAGATTTGGAGTATGTAGAGGATGAAGAAGTTCATCTGCTAAAATTTTCATAGGAGACTCAATTACCATTGAAGGTTGAGTCCAAGTTTAAGTTTAATCTGCAATGAGATAGTCGACACTAAGAATCTTGATGGCAACTTGATGGTTGTTTTAAGTACCTAGAAACGTACTTTTCTTATTCAGGTATAACCATGCCCAAGAAATAACTTTCACATGAGTGAAGTTATTTAGCCACACTCTTATATTATGTGATATGAAAGCTAGAGATTAAGACCTAACAAGAATGACTTAGAGCTATTTGGTTGCCTGAAAAAGGAATGCAGTGTAAAAGAAAGGCGGTGTAAAAAGAATATTTTGGAGTTATTTAGATGAGTGCAAAAACAATGCATGACTTTTTTTTTTGTTTGAAAAAAAGTGAATGCAATGTAAAGTGTAAAAAGGTTGTGCCCGAGGTGGTCAGTGACAGTCGGCCGACATTACAGGGCAGCGGCTGTGGTTAGCAACTACGGAGGTAATCGGCGATGGACGATGGCGGGTGGCGGCCGATGACGATGGTAGGCTGTCCACGGTGCCAGCAAGTGGTGGCTGCGGCGGGCTGCTGAGGGCGGTGGTGGCAGAGGGCGTCAGCAGGCGGCAATGGCGGTGGGCAGTAGTGGTCGACTAGTGGCGGTGGTGGTTGTCGGAGGTGCTCAAGTAAACGGTTCTCGCTCAAAACCGGGCGAGAATGATTTATCTCAAAAATGAATAAGAATGGAATACACTGCATTCACTTTACCTTATATTTACTTTTCATCCAACAAAGCACCAAACTTCTCAAAACCCCTGCATTTACTTTACTTTACAATCACTTTACTTCCAACTAAATAGCCTTTTAGAATCATTTCAAAGCCATCCTAAAGAAATTTAGCCCATCAACCACAAGTGAGAAAAATGGATGTGATTAGAGTTTAAGGGGATGGGCAGTCCGTGTTGGACTATATCATTGAGTTCCATAAGTAGAAGGCAGATGGCTTCTATATATATAGTTCCAATTAGGATTTCTATCGATTGTAAGAATTTCAATCGTATGCATGACCTTCTTAATCCTTAATTCTAGTAAAAAATTTCTAGTATAAGGCTATAGAACTTTCATTATTATTATTATTATTATTATTATTATTATTTTCCAATTTTCATTAACGTAGACAATATATTGGCTTAATAGCTTGTTGTATTTATATTGCACGGTTTTTAACATTACATGTCAATTTTTTTTTAGAATGACTGAACCCAAAAACATCATAAACCACACATCATAATACAAAATTGTTAGTTAAAGATGAAGTAAACGTTAAAAATAAAATGATATCAATGTAGGCGCACCACTTACTGTCTGATTGAAGGACACTTGACAAAGAGTTAATCCAATACAATTTCTATTACAGTTTTAGAAAACATAACATGATCAGCGTGGTTAATACATGCAAAATCGTCAATAAACTATGAGTAGCCTCCTTGCAGCCAAATGGAAAATCAAACACTTCCACGTGGGTTTTAGGTCATTTAAGGATTTAAGTTCCTCAAATCATGAAAATTACAAGTCCTTTAGACGAATTTTCAGAGGAAAACAAGAGAGTAGAAAAAAGACAATCAGTACTACAATTTGCATTATTGCAGTGATTAACATAGCTATAAGAGAAATTAAAAGGACTTAGTTCTAGCAAAACAGTGTACACAACATTTGTGACAAATATTTATTTACTTAGATTATTCCTTCTCAAACTTCTCTTCGTCCAACCTACTTGAATTAAAATAATAGGCAAAGAAAACAATAGCTTTGCTTACCGATCATCGTCCATTTCAAGTTCAACATTTCCAATATCAACCCTCAAAGAGGTTTCACCAACTCGTTGAAAAGCCAGTTTCTCACTTAAATACATTTCAGCCATATCCATGTCGTCATCCAATAAGTGTTCTAGTTCATCTCTTACCTATCAAGTAAGAAAAATGTGCATATTATAAAATAATAGAATTTTAGATCATTAAAACTAAAAAGATCAAGCCTAAGATAATCACTCAACTATTCATATGTGGTCAATTTAATCTAAGAGTATCACATTTTCCAATTTAATCCATTCATTATACAAAATTGATCCCAAATGATGAGTCATAAATTAAATTGGAATCAATTTTGTATAGTTGAGGAGCTAAATTGAGATCAAATTTATATCTCAATTTCCATCATATTCTATAGGGACCATTTAGGATCAATTTGTATAGACGAAAGAATAAATAAGAGAAATGTGATACTCTTGGACTAAAATGACCACATGAATAATTTTGATCTTTTCTCAAACCTAAAATAACCAAAAATAAATATTGGTCCTAATCGACTAAATTACAATACCATAGTGTTCCGTGACAATTTCCATATAAGAGCGATAAACTCAAATGCAAAAAATATAGATTGGATCTGATTGAAATGCCACATATTCATGCTTACATTAAAAATATGGTGCATTTGAATGAAAAGCCACATAAGTGATGCTTACATTATAACACTAATAAAATGAACAAGAACTATAAAGAAATTATTGATATAGTCCTATGTTTTAGTCTGCCAACATATGATGTTTTCGGAAGTGAAAATTGCATGTCCCAATCTCACAAATTCTTGATATCACACCTTTTGCACACGCCCAGAAATAGCAACAAGACGAGACTTAATTTGTCTAACACGCTCAAGATTAAGTGTGCTGATTTTTGACGTCAACTCATCCAAAGCTGGGTATGCTTCTTGCTCCAAGGTTAATGTCTACAAATTAAAAACAATGTTAGAGGTCAAAAAAGAAAAAAAAAAGACATATAAAAGAAGTATATATGAGTTGCTTGTCCATAGGAAAATGCATATGGTAAACCCTAAAAAAAGGAAACTAGCAAGGCCCCTGCGCAATGCACCCAGTGATAAGGTATTCAATATAAGTTGCACTAATAAGAAGTTAAATGAACATTTGCAAAGTTTGTTATAATTTATTTCTATAAGGGATAAAATTATGGAAGCTTGAAATATATGTAACAAAACCATGACAGACCTTAATTCACCTAACCAATTACATTAGTAACTTCTGTTTTTAATGTAGAAAGTGATAAATAACAGAAAGTAAATAAAATTTATAAAAGAAAAGGTCATGTAAATCGTTCAAGATCATCAGATCAATAGATCAAACACTAATAAAATGAAACTAGCAAAGGCCCCTGCACAATGCACACCGTGATAAAGTATTCAATATAAGTTGCACGAATAGGATGTTAAATGAACATTTGTGAAGTTCGTTTAAATTTATTTTTGCAAGAGATAAAATTATGGAAGTATGAAATACATGTAACAAAACTATGACATACCTTAATTCACTAGACCAATAACATTAAGAACTTCTGTTTTCAATGTTGTAAGTGATAAATTACAGAAATTATGCACAGCTTATAAAATAAAAGTTATGTCAATCGTCCAAGTTCATCAGATTAATAGATCACCACTAGAGATCCAGAAATTATTCATTTTGGCGATAATTGCTAGAGGATGAATGAAGCAGTTTCCCATAGAGAAGCAATCACAGGCCACCCAAGATGCTCATCGCATTTACAAAGCAAGCATTGTAAAAACTCAAAAGGTTCTTTTAGCTCCTTTAGCGTGCTAATCAAACTCCTGTCCTCCCACACGAGTTTTCATCATTATATAAAAAATAATAGATATCATATAAGGCAATCTTTGAGTGACTTAAGCATCTAAAGATCTAGCCCAATCATGAAACTAAAGTTGTTGATCTGAAATACAAATATTGACATACTTCTTAATTACTTAAATTCTATAACCTTGATATGGTAGCTGATATCTCCCTTAAATTATTGTTGGTTTGTTAATAAACATCAATTTGTTCACACAAGATTCCTTCCTACTCTTCCATGAAATCAAAGCATCATTAAGAAACATAAATTAGCTTGCAACAGATTGTTTGGTATTAGGGCAGCCGACCCAATTAGTATTACAATATGCCACAAGATTAATATAAAAAAAGTAGGTACTAATATATCACGGATAGGTATCCTACCAAGGTATCAAATGATTATGGGAAAGACAACAAAATATAAATGACGAGTTTACATACATTGACCAACTTGCTAAGCAACAAATGAAATAACAGGTCAGGTAATTTTCAAATAGATTAAGCTGCCTACCAATTATTGAAATACAATAAGATCAGAGAGAAGATCACCTCCCCCGCAATGATACTCTGTGATTACTTCTACTAGAGTATTCACAGAAAAAGTTTGAAGGCTTGCCAAAGTGACCATATCATGTGTATACATATATTGATTTAGAAAAAACCCATTTTAGCTATAAAAGCAAAAGATTCTTCATAGTCAATCCCATATTCTTGTTCGTTGTCAAGAACAACTAAATGTACCTTATAAACATTCACAGTATCTGCTGGATTTTGTCATCCTCAACGAAATGCATATTTTGTGATCGAGCACGACATAGAAAGATGATATATTACCCTGAAAGACAAAAATATCATTTCCCTATGGACTCGATAAAAAAATTTACAATTTCAATTTTAACTGAGATTTTCCCCCATTAAATATTTGATTTAATGGGGTTTATTTTATTTTGGGGTACGAATGCCCCATAGGGGCAAACTCCTATGATTAATTATATCTTAAATATTTATTGTTAGAAAATATTTTTGATTAAACTAGTGACTTCCTTTATTTTGAAAATCATCAAAATATTGGCTACAATTTTCGTTTTAAAATCCATAAAATTGTTGTTTAAAGATTTTTGGTATTTAGGAATTTCAAAGGAAGATAGAGATCAACTTTGATTGGAGTTCATGGAATGAGAGCCAAAGGGAGGAATGGTAGGAGTACTTGATTCTGAAGGGAAACTCAGAGGTACTCAAAACTATCTTATATTAGACTTTACATTTTAGAATCCAATTTTTATTTAAGTTGATATTTTTAATTTAAAATGATGGGTCTTACATTCCACAACACATATTGGAAGAGATGCCCTGAAGGTGAGGGCTTATGAAGTGATTGAAATCAATATCTGCCTCAAACTCTAGAACTAAGGTGAAGGCTAATGAGGAATAGTGCCTTAAACCTAAGTCTAACGGAGTGAATGAGACTTACAAATAATAACCTTAAACTAATAATAGATTTCTAGATCAAAAAAGGAATTAAAAAATATACTGACAATAGATTTCTAGATCAAAAAAGGAATAAAAAACATGCTAATCTTGTTCAGTTAATCTTCATGACTAAATAAAAATAATGCAATTAGTCTTAAAAATTCATTTGGAAAGTGGTTCATTAAGGTATCAAAGCTTCTTCAATTAAGAGGCTAGTTAACGAATAGGATAAAGTTAATAATAAAGACGACAAGAAAGTTTTAAGAGATTATAGAACTAAATGACATGCTTGAAGATATGCTGTCGTACATTTAAATCAACAAACAAATTAGTATAATGCAATGTTTAATAAATAAAGGGAACAGCTAATAAACTCAAACTGCTTTATTGCATTGAGGTAATCAATGCATACCTCAGATTCAAGAAGTCTGCATGCTGATTCAAGACAGGCTTCAAGCGCTCGGAACTCAAAAGGCAATACTTTGGTGGTCCCATTATCGTACGCATCCAAAGCAAGTCTGGGGCTATCTAATTGTGTTTTACTAGTGGACACATCCTTAGCAGTGACATCTGTATCCACACCATCAAATTCTGCAACCTTCATATAGCAAAATAGCTAAGGATAATATCAGTACCACAGATTATCTCAAACCATCTTCCATGTTATTTATAAAGTTGAATACTCGCTCAACGTAGTCAAAATGGATGTAAAACATCAATTTATGAATGCGAAAATTAGACAAAGCCATGCAACATGTGATGAATTGAAAACCACAAGTTCAAACCAGAGCATTGAAGATCCATGATCACACCTACTTCTTTTCAAACTGATCCATGATCACCTCTCACTATAAAAAATTCGCTGTAGGTATACCGGCGGTATTTTCGGTGGTCATTTGACCCCCGGGATTTTTACAAACCGCCGGAAACACTACCTGAACTGCCACTGCCGGTAATTGATTTTACTACATCCCCTCCCACTGTCACTTTCTCTCACTTTCCGCTCTCTAAACCAACCTCAATTTTACTCTCCTCGAAGTAGCCAAATCTACCGAACTCTCCAGCCAAAATTTAATTAATACTCTCTGTTAAGGCTGCAAAGCAATATAAGATTGAAAGTAAAGCGTAATAAAACAAAAATTAATAACAAGGCGGCCCAAGTTAAATTAGAAACTCCCCAAATCGTCCAAAAGATAGTTAAACCCCACTTCATAGGAACCCTTCATGCTTTCAAAAACTAAAGCGTAACTAAATTTCTTAATAAATAAGAAAGAAATCGAGAAAAATATGAAAAAAGCCGACATTACCACACGCTGCGGAGCACCATAAGAGCTGGAGGAGACCCTCGCTTGCAGATCTTGAACAAATGGAGCAACCAATGGATCTCTGGAGTTGGGGACGAGCACCTCCGTCGCCGTGATTACCGCCTTGATGTGCTCTAGATTGATCACGATGGCTCTCTCTCTCCCAAGGATTGTCGAGGGATACGATAGCTGTGGATCGAGCACTCTTAGATCTCTCGCTGGTAGCCCCGTTCGTTTCATGATAGAGTGCTTCCCAACTTCTTCAAGGTACGACCTCCCTGAGTCCGATACCACCAACCACGCCCGGATGTTTCCCGTGGCCTTCCGCCTCCCGGTAGCTTGCTGATTAGGCGCCGCCACCGCCGCCCGGTTCAGAGCATCCTCCTCCGCCGCCACTGCTTTTGAAGACCGCATGTCTTCGTCTTCCCCGAAGATTCTTCCTTGCCGTTTCACTCACAGAAGAAGCGCGAGCCGTTGGACGACGTTTTTTCTTAATTCAGTCACGCGTCGAATATATAATTCTCCAAACTGTCCCATCGTTTCGTGCTTTTTTTTTTTTTTTTTTTTTTTTTTTGACATTTAGGTCATTTAAGGCAAACTTACACACACAACGCATATACATGGACTCGAACCTTGGACCTCTTAGTTGGAAGCCTAAGCTCTCAACATCGTTTCGTGCTTTCGTTCCACATAAAATTTAAAATAAGAAAAAATATAAATTGGCGTGATTTTTCCCATGCATGTTTTATGAGAATCTACATAAGGTGTCAATTCGTATCATCGAATCTTGTTCGAGTCAAATTTAATTTTAACCTGGCAAATTTTGACTGGACCGAACACCACCTGATTTTGATTTTGGGTCATTTTCCTTGATTCGAATCCGATTCGATTCGGGTCAACCCGATCAGACTCGAAAGCTATTAGATGCATTAAAATATGAGATTTGAACATTTAATTTGCAATTGAAATACATGAAATGTATACTAAGCATGATTAGGAAGTTAATTAAGTAATTAAGCATACTTAAAAAAATATTTAAAAGTAGACATAATCACCCTTTTAATTGTCGACTTAGACTGACTCGGCAGAGATGAGTAAGGTAGCCATTTTAAAAGTCGCCCGTTGTCAGTCATCTTATAAAAGTCACCCGTTATTTGGGCGACTTGTAAGTCGCCCATCAAACCGGCGACTTACATCTAATATTTTATAAAAAAAAACTGACCACATGGATAAATGATGCATTGGAGTTAGAATGAAGAATTAAAAAAATTATAGAAATATCAAGTATGAAACTTATATTGACATTAAATTTGAAATTGCGTATATACAAAAAAGTTCTAATAATTTGTATTATATTAAGATCGACTATATTTATCAACATTTGATTTTTTCAAAATAATAATATAAATTATATCATTAATTTTATTTCTTAGAATTTCTTTATGAAGAATTACTTAATTTTTCATTCAATTATGTCCTATACAAATGTTTGGATTATTTTGTCAAAAAAAAAAAAAAAAAAAAAAATTAAGAGCATAGGATCGTTATAATGTCTTGTTTATTGGCAATGACCATTCATTTCAGTTGTAGTACTTTATCCCATCAGATGACCTGTCAAGTTTTATTGAGTTGTAGGACTGCATGTGATGGTTGAATAATCATGACTCTCTCCTATTTAAAAGAGTGCAAAGAAGAGACATGAAATATATTTGTAGAGATACTTGAGCTATTCAGAATGTTTTGTCCATGTATGGAGAAGCTGAATGATGTTCCCAACAAAGAAAGATTTGATGATGCAAGTCGAAGAATACATGCTTGTATAGCACGAGTCGGTGACAGGCAACAAGCGAATGTGAATGAGATCTTTAGGTGTTGCATCCACGAATGGTCATAATATGAGGACGATTATCTCTGGAATATGCATTCGGAGTTAATTAAGGCTAAACTTTATATGACAAGAGATTTCTTAAATGATGCTGGTTGGAAATCTCTTCAAATTAGGTTCCGCCAAGAGAATGGTCATCTTGTCAGCCCTCATTTCTTACAGATGCGGTACCATGAGATGAAAAGCCATAGAGATGGCGGTCATTCCCCTCCATATATTGACTGTAGTCACCTTGACATTGAGTATGTTATTCTATATTGTAGTTGACATTCGAGATTTGACAAGTACATTATAGATTTTTATAAAGATCGAATGAAGGAGGTATTACCTGATGGTCAGCTCAGACAATTCTTTAATGTTGAGGACTGAAAAAACCTACAATATGAGTTCGATGTCGATATGAAATGTTGTCCAACATAAACACAGCTCCAATCACGCTTACATATGTTACTTAGGAATTAAAAAATCTATGTTAACTTAATGTTTTTATCCTTTATGCGGTTTTTATTTTCTAGGCTTATTTTATTAAAGTAATTGTTCTAGCTTATATTGTGAAATCATTCAAAATGCCTTGTCTTATGAAATTATTTTCCTAACTTGTATTGTTAAATTATTTATACATCTACAAGGTGTAAGGTCCCATCAAATTATATTGACAGCTCAGTAGGTGTTATGAATTTATTTCATATTGACATATTATATATATTAATATGTGTTGTTAAATCACTTTAATTTGACATAGTAGTAGGTGTTGTGAATTCAATTCATATTGACAGATAATATATATTAGGATGCATTGGGAAACTCAACTCCAAGTGATGCATCTATTTTAAAATAATATTTATATGTTGGATGAGTACTTCTGCTTACTAGTTATAAAATCATATAAATTTAAATAGTTTGTATTATGAAATCATTATGTACTGCTAAATAAATATACGTTGTCTTGAAAAACTAGTTTTTGTGTTATAACATAATTATGTATTATCACATCATTCTGAACTGTCAAATCATATATTTTCATATCAGTCGTAGTTAATATTTATCTATGTTGTCGAGTTTGTACTTTCGCGTTATATTAAGTGTTTTTCATAGGAAGATTTAATGTTCATATATTATTTGATGGATATTACTATATTTTAGATAATCTCATCATTTTTAAAATAAATTTTAATTTATTTAATTTAACATTTAATAAGTGAAGTGTATACTACGTTAGATAAAAGAAAGGTAAGTAAACTCATATTTATTGATCATTAAATATATCAACATCAGCAAAGTCTACATAATATATAATAAAAACATATCATCAACTAACATCTCCTACGTCCTCTATGGGGTAAAGCATCACTGCCTTGTGTGTAATTATATGGTGGACGTACAGGCCTGTCACATAACACATGTTGCTCGACCCGAAGATGCCTTGCTGCTCTCCCTCAACTATATCTGCTGATGTACTGTCTGGGACATACTCATGTGGGTACCAGCCTAGTGTAGACTGTTGAGTCGACTGAGTAAATAAAGCTTGAGAATGTCTCAAATCTTTATACAATGATGGTTATGTATCTGCATATTGAGAATCAACTGTCACTAGACTGAAGGTGCTGTATGGATACCTTGCATATACATGCTCAGAGTACAAGTCATCAGAAATATTAACCTCTCTACACAAATTCACTATCATCTCAGTAATTCTCTTAATAACACTATCAACATTTCTATAGTCATGTGAACCAATCATAGGTAACACAGCCCTCTCTGTCTCTAGGAAGAAATTACACTAAGGGAGGGGAAAATAAATAAAACTACTATAAGGTCAAAATTCTTAAGAAATGAAATATATAACACACTAATATTACTTACCAAATATCACTCTGAAGGTGCTCTGGGGTAGTATGTAGTCGGCGGTGTTGTTGGTGGCTTTAACATGTACAATGTCGCCTAGGATTTGAACCACTATAGGTATTCTTAAATGAAGTGTTCATTATTTGATCCCGTAGTAATTCCTTCAATGATGTATGCTCGTTTATACTTCCACAACCCAATGTAAGGTAGGTGGTGCACCATCCAATATGTATCAACTTTACCATGCCCATCTGCTCATGCAAATTTGAGCTCCATAGGTTAAACCTACGTGGTAGAAATAAGCCCAAACAGTCGAACAACTCTATCTGGGAGGTGCCACTCCACCCGAGTTCAACAAATAAAAGGCACATGAGCTAACCATATTACTTCTCCTAATAAGTATATATCAGCAACTTGAGAGCAAACTTCTATGGTGTACGACTCCTAAATCACCTGCCAAAGCAAATAATTTTTTTTTTTCAGTTAATTGAAACTATTATAATTTAAGTAACATAACTTTTATATTACTAATAACAATGCAAACCTAACTATCTAAAAGTCCATCTAATTCATCTCTATAACTATTAAGGCTACTTATTGGGAGCTACCTTATAAATTCTTGGTTCCACCTGCATAAAGAAATATAATTTAATCATATCATGTTAAGAATTTAAAATTTATACGTAATAGAAATTTTTATGTTGGTTACTTGTAGCCAACAGAAAGACCATCCAAATTGACATGATGTGGGATATGAAGTGTAGGTCATCCAACATGAAGTCATTTCCAACACCAAATCTGAAGCAAGTGAATGCAGCTTGTAATATTTTCCCTCTTAGGCTTCATTACTTCAGCAAGTTCCCTGTACAAGTGGGCTAGTATTGCTACCCCTAAAGAGTATGTACTGAACAAACCTAAGTCCTCTAACAAAGGTAAGAACCTCAAATGAATATCAAGAGATACAAACCAAAAGGAGGATCATGAGTGGGCTAGTATTCTTTATCTAATATTGTGTGGAATTCTTCTAAGTAAGTCATCTTAAAGTTATTCATTGTGTAATACTCCGAAACATAATCCAGTTTACTTATCCTGACTGATGTAGTTGAACTTATTATATGGGCACATGATATGTGATAAATAACAGATCTTCTACAACTTCATAAACTGTTAGCACCTGATGTAATGTCCACACGTTATGATCTTGAGGACATATCAAAAACTTGAAACTCAAGTATATTAATCCGCGTAGGCTCTGGTATTCTTCTTGCATCAATTTTAAGTTTTCATAATTTAGCCTGGACTCATGGGAAAAATTTCTTATTTCTTTGATGTCTTTAGTATTAATAAGCTCGAGTCAATGGATAAACATTTGAATAACATTATAATATATGGAAGAAATGAGAGATTGCACCGATAACCCACGTGCTCTATTTGATATGTCATTAAAGGCTTCTGATGCATTAGTTATCATTACTCTGTATCGAAATCCACCATCAAATATCAAGGTCCACTTGGAAAAATCCCTTTCAACTAACTATTGATGAAGTTCAGGCTTTATTCTTATTATATCTAGGATGCTCTTATTGAATAATTCTACATCATCAGTATTACCAGATGTGTATATCTTTTGGCATGGAAACTCCACATCAGATACTCCCATTTATCAAAAAACTTTCTTAAAATGTTCACGTAAGTGTCTAAGATAGTGACGGTGGGCTGCCCATGGAAATATATCCCTACATCCACA